ACTAGTTAAGTTATGCTTTATTAAATCGTTTAGTTAAAATTCATATGGTACAAAAACTGATTAGAATCATGAATGCAGCATGATATTGATACTTTTTTTGTGTTGAATAATTAATAGTATATGGAGAAGTATAAAGTCAAACAATGTCATGAAGTAATTTTGCATCTGATGACTTTTTTCTCTTTCAATATTCCATCGACAATAGATTTGAGTGATCTACAGAATGTATTAGAATAGGACAATATGATATAAAACAGAATGAAAAACAAAGTTTTTTATTTCAAATCTTCTTCAACAAGCAAAATTCGTTATTGATTCATCTTCATTAATTCAGCTTATATTAGTTGACTTGTGCTTAATCTATCAAAAATAAATTCATGTCTCATTACCTATAATAATATTACGTAGTCGCCATGATCCATTGTGAAATTTCGTTGAGTTGGAATTTATTATAACTTTTGTTTATCCATAAAAAACAGAGAGAGATGTCATAGCTATATAATATGATCTATAGATCATTGTTGATAATCTATTGTACCAGTTCAATAATTACATCTGTTAGTTCAACAACTAGACGATCAGATCGAAGTTTATTATTGACATTTTCTTTATAAAAACGCATTGGTCATCTTGTGGTTATTGAATATGATGAAATTTTAAGTCTTCGTAATTTTTTGTAAATTCTTCGTGAAATATCTTTGTATCTATTCGAAAAATGGTTGAAATCATTCCATTGTATAGATGAAATTTATTATCTTTTTTTTTTTATTTACAAAATTTTTTTCTAGCAGGAGTTAGATTATATGTGACAGAATATGCTACTTATTTAAGTGCAAGAGTTTATTTAATTTTAGCTGATGTATAAAATTACAAACAACATTATCCGAGCTTTCAGTCATTATCATAAGTATGATAGAGTAAAATCATAAAGGTTAATCTGTTGACAGAATTTACTAGTCAATTGTAAAATATTCTCATCAAAAAGAAAACCAATGTTAGAAAATATATGAAATGGAAAAAAAATTTTATTCATCATAGTTTTACGTCTCTCAAATATTATGATCTAATCTATATTTGTAAAATTCAGATAAATAGTGCATCAGTTTTTGTTTTTTTGTTAATTGCTTAAAATTTTCATTGATATTATTTTATCACTATTGTTTTGAGTAAAATTATATTTTATATGCCATAGTTACAATTATATAAAAATATGCGAATAATGCATCTTATCGTATATTACTACTTTCTCATAAAACAATACATTTCTATCTCTATATTAATATATAATATTTCTTTTTTATAAACATATTATATTTCTTATATTTTAAAAATATTTAATCAATGATTTTACATATGATCTAATGGATAATCAATCAAATGATAATAAAATCGAATCATTATATTCATTTCATACAAAAGAAAATGATACCGTTGAATTATTTAATGAATTACTTCCATGGACATTTAATTGTCGAACATTAATTGATGCAGCACGTAATGGTCAAACAGCTGAATGTGAAGATTTAATTCGACTTGGTGTTGATATTAATGAATGTGATAATTATGGTAATACAGCTGTTTGGACATCTTATTTTCATGAACATCTTGATACATTATTTACATTATTACAGGTAGATTTCAATATTCAATTTTATCGATATTATAATCTATATGATCTTTTTTTTGAAGCTTGGTGCTGATCCAAATACACGTTCTGGTGATATTTTATGTTCAGATCTTCATCGTGCATGTTCATTTGGTGATCAAACATTAACTGAAATATTAATTGAATGTGGTGGTTATGTTAATATATCAGATCGTAATGGTAAAACACCCTTAATCTATGCACTTGAATATCCTTCATCAAATTCTGTATTTGATTTAATTTCATATTTAATTGAACATGGTGCACATATCAATTTTAAAGATCAAAATGGAGTAAGAAAAACATTTTGTTTAGTTTTACAAAAATGACTTAGGATTTATCAAAAATAATGCCTGAAGTATTTTAATTCTCTACTGAATGTGTAAACAAGTTCATACATTTTTTGAATAAAAAACAAAAAAAAGACTTCGATAAATGGATTCAATGAATGCCATTGTTTTTGTTTTGCTGACATCAACTATCACAGAATGTGAAGAGAATAAGCTCAGTCTAAATTTTTATTTGTATATATCAACATTCGTTTGAGATCGTGTTTCACAATAGACAAAGGATACATATCGATGAAGACAAAATTTCATCTAATATAATTATCATATGTCATAACAAATAGCTACAATCAAAACTTTAGTATTATAAAGAATGAATAAGACAATATTAAGAAAAAATTAAGGGTGGTATCCCCTCTTTTTTGACACTTTCTGGTTCTCGAAGACGATATAACCGATCAAGCTGAAATTTTTAGCATAAATAGAGCACTAAAAATAAAGAGATACGTATTCGAAGAAAAAAAAAATTTGAAATAGGTTTTCGAGGGGTTGTCCAGAGGTCCACATCCTGGTACATTATGACCTTTCCTTCAAAGTTTGTCCAATTGGGCTGAATTTTTTTGTTTTAGATACTTAAGACTATTCCTCAAAGATAAATTTAAGTTTTTTCAAAAATCTCACTTTCTTTCTTTTTATAAGAGAAATACGGCAAAACTTGGGTTTGGCTCCAGGTCTTGACTTCCTGGATCCTGTAACTTCAGGTGGGAATGTCAAAAATGAAAACCTTCGATTTTATCTCTGGAGAATACTTCCAAGTATAAGTGGTAAAAATTTCAGCCCGATCGGACAAAGTTAAGATGGGGTCGTAAACAACCGAAGTTTAGAAAATTCCTGTTTTACATAACGCTAAGAAGAAAGAAAAAGGTTACATATGATTACTATGAACAAACAAAAATTTTCTTAATCCAATAACTCTATAAAAGCAAGCTATTTTGAGTTGAATAATGTCTCCAGTTGCATATAGCACCTCAGACTATCATATCTTATGTTTCAGCTCGAAATCAAGTTTTCGGTCACAAAAGACCGAATACTCTTAAAAGCACCTGTTACTTATTTTGTTATATTCTAAATACTTTTTTTTTTCATTTAGTTAACACCATTACATTATGCATGTTATCGTGGTGATTATGAAACAATTAAATTATTAATTGATCATAAAGCTGATATATCAATAGAAAATGCTATTGGTTATAATATTCGTAAATATGAAAAATAAAACAAAAAAAAAAAAAAAAATTGTTTAAATTTAAATATTTTTATTTTTAAAGTTCGTTATGCTCTATCATGTTTATTTTATACATCACCATCACAATATATACAATATGAAAATCGTTTAAAAATAATTGATTTATTAATTAATCAATATAAAATTGATTCATCATTATATGATGCAATAATTGGAAATAATAATGAACAAATACATATTTTTCCTTTATTTGATTTTATTTTTTATTCATTAATAAAAAAACGATATGATTTAGAAAAATTTGCATGGAATATATTTCTAAATATTAATTTAACAAATAAAATTTTAAATAATATACAAATAATTATTCAAAATACATTTATTTATAGTTATTATTTTTCACATATTATTTATTTATGTCAACGTTTTAAAATTGAAAATTTTTTATCACTTTTAATATATTATATTGAACATATAACATATGATAATAAACCTAATCGATTTTATTTACTTTTATATATTATTTATATTGATAATGGTTTAAAATTATTTCAATTAATAAATAATTATTTTAATAAATCATTATTTTATACTCGTCAATATATATTAGAAAATTTTTTAAATAAATGTCAAGAAAAACCTGAAAAATTAAAATTTTATTGTCGTCGTTATATACGTACTGTACTTTCAATTAGTATTCATTGTAAATTAGAAAAATTAGATTTAAATAATTATTTAAAAAATTATATTCTTATTGATGAACTTAATTTTATATCAATTTCTTAATTATATCTAGTTTTTTTTTTGTTTGTATACGATTTTAAATAAATGATATTCTTTTTTAAGAAACGTAAAACAGTAGTCAACTGGTATTTGATTTTCTTAATATTTACCCTTTTTTTTACGTTGTGAATAGCATTAGATGTATTTTTTTACTTTGAGAGCATCGCCATTCTCTTTTAAACTATTTTTTCTTTGTTTTTCTACTCGTCTCTACCTTGACATTACCATGCCTATTGTTCTTCATTCATGGTCAACAAATGAAGCAAATAGTGGCACTAAGCTTCCATTGTCACCTTCGTTTGTTAAGTTTTTTTTTTTTTACTTCGTCGTTGTGTGTTTATTTAAAACACTTCTTTTTTGTTTTACTCTCTACCAATTTTTGCTTTTCTAACGAAATGGCATCATCATACATTTTACTTTTGTTCTTGATCAATTTATTTACTTACTAATGGCAGCTACATCCTATACAACATTACCATCTAATACATATGCTGGTCTTGGATCTCAAGGAGATCTTTTTCATGCAGCTAATTATGGTAAAATTGATATTAGAATTGATTTTTTTTTGTATTTAGTATTAAAAAATATATATATATATTTCTTTAGGTACATATGATTCAGGTGTTGGATCATTAATATCAAATCCTAATCAATATCCAACAACAACAAATTATGATACACATTTTACTGGTAGTCAACGAAGACAATCCTATTCAAATGATTATCTTCAATCAAATTATTTAAATGATGATTATACAAATCAACAACAACCTGAATATTATTCTACAGATAGATATTCTCAACAACCAACATATAATCAAGATACTTTAATTAATGATTATTCAAATTCTAATACACAAACATATAATGATCGATCAACAATACCTAATAATATGGATGAAAATTATGCTAATACTATTACTAATAATAATAATAATACATTGCCAACACATAAAACAACTATGGAAGAACATCATATTGAATCTAATAATCGACATCAGGTATATCAATTTATATTTATTTTTCATATCTAAAATTGAATTGCATTAGGGAAATAGATTTTAATTTTCTTTTTATAAAATGTTCAATGAAACATAATTAAAATAATAATATCCATTACAATGAAAGTGGATGCGAATGAAAAGAAAAAAAAAATATGATAAAAAATTTTTTTTTTCCATATTCAAAATAAACATAAATTACAATTGAAAAAAAAAAACTCATTTTCTCATAAACTATAAAACATCTATCAAAAGAATCATATTTTAGTCACAAAAAAAAAAGGAAAACGCCGTTTGTGTAATTTTTTTACAACATCATATTTTTGTTGCTAAGAAATATATTATCTATTTACATAATAGAATTTCTTTCATAAACACTTAGTAACCATTGAAGAATAATAATAATAATAACACGAACACATTTTCTTATGTTTAATATTTCAATTGTGAAGATAAATATTTTAATAGTTAAATGGTAAGAAATAATCTTAAAATCTTAACGAATAATTTAGTTAATATTTAACGAATTAATCCCAACAAATTAATATATTTACTAATCGAAGACAATTATAGAGTCAAGTAACCATCGTGATGTTTGTGAATATTTTTACATAAAATTTTCATTTCTACTATAACAAATGTTTAAGGTCAAATAAGAAGCCATGTCTATGTAGAATTTGATTTTTTGTAAATATGCATTGTTATAGTTTCTCCTTGAATTATTTTTTTTCTTCTTTTTTTTATAAAATGTGTTTCTTTTAATTTTTATATCCATTTAGCCATCATATCCTAATACAACACAATATCAACCTCCAACATCTTCTGATAATCAACGTCCTCATCCAACTCAAATATCAACACAATCAAATATTGTTCGATCGGATCCTCAAATAAGTTATAATTCATCTAAACAAATTTCATCAAATCATCAACAATCATCATCAAATGGTATCAATGGTAATCCATCGGAAACAATGACAAAATCTAATAATCCTACAATAGAAATGAAAACAACTAAATCAAGTAATTTACGAGCAGCAGCTATTAAACAAAAAGAAGATAGTCGTGAACAAAAACAACGTGATAATAATATTGCTTTATCAAAAAAAAAAGCAACACCACCACAATCAACAAAAACTCAACAACATCTATCAAATGATATTAAACAAGATGATATTAAAAAACCTAAACGAAATAAAAAACAATCTCATTCTGTTCCACAAAAACGTACAAATCGTCGGGATGATTATCAAACAGATGATAATAATAGTTCCGGAGATGAAAATAATAATAATAATACTCGTCATAGTCGAAGTAAATCTAAAAAACATACAGCATTATCTGATTCACAACAAGAAAAATATCCACCATTACCACCAATTCGACGTGGACGAGGACCACCAGTTTATGATCCTATTTATGATTATCCAATGTTACATGGATATTCTCTTAGAGCACGATATCCATATTATGATGATCATTTACCTTATGGACCTTATCCATATCCTGGGCGATATGATTATCGTCATCGTCATTTATATGATGATGGTTATGATACTCCACCTTATCTACCAGCATCACATAATCCTTATGATGGATTTTTTGATTATGAAAAACGTAAACCTAAATCAAAATCTAAAACACATAAAAATAAAAAAGATTTTAATATTGATCATGAAGGTATAACAGAATATGAAACTGAACATGAAGATGATAAAAAAAGTCAAAAGTCAAAAAAAATTAATAATAAAAAAACAAAATCAAAAGATGATGATACTGAAAATGAAAAAACTAAACAACAACAACAACAAAAACATATATCTCCAAATTATCCAGAATCATCTTATCCTGATGAAGGTGATATGTTAGAACTTTGGCGTCAAGAAAGAAATGATTTTTTAAAAAAAAAATATCGACCAACTGTACATGATGTTCTTTATTCACAACAATTTATGAAAACAGGTTTATTTATTTTTAAGAATTATATTTTAAAAAACTTTTTCTCTTTTAGATAGTTATTTAGAAAATCAACGACGTCGTGCATTACGTGATATTCAAGGATATTATTTTCCATATAAAAAATATACACTTAAAGATTATAAAGATTTACAAAAACAAGATTCACAAAATAATCCATATGCATCTGTGAATAATGAACCTTCTCCTGATCGAGTATATATATAATATTTATTTACAAAAATTAATTTCATATTTTAATATAGAAAGAACGTGCTAAAAAACGTCAAGAATATTCATCACAAGTAGAAAAACCAGCTGGAGATACATTCGGAGTACAAAATAAATCACCACGAGATACACAACCTAAAAAACCTTGGCATTTAAGTCATGGTGAATCACATGATCCAGAAAAATTATCAAAACGAGAACGAGTAAATTCTATTTTGATATATATATATATAAATGAATAAATAATATTGATTTTTTTAAGGCTCTTGAATATGCAAAAGTTCAAGTTGTCAAAACTCGATCTCTAAAAGCAGCTAATGATAAATCTAGTGGTTCAGATCCTACTGAAAAATATGTTAATGGTCTTTTTCCACAAGATGATAATGATGATGAAGGTTCAGGTTAGTTTATTTAATTTGAATTATATCAACATTTGATATATGTATGTATATATAGATAATCGACGACATCAAAGACAAAATCAATCAGGCGATGATGATGATTAATAAATGAACAATTTTTTTTTTCTTCTTTATGCAACTTCAAAACAATGCCTTCTTTTTCTCTTATTAAGATTTTTATTTTCTTTGTCTGTATATGTTGAGCGATGAAAAATCAAGCAGAATAAAACAAAAAAAAAGAAAAGAACGAACGAGAAAATTTCACTAGGAACAATATTATAATTAATTTTTGTGACTCGGTAATTTCCGATTTGTTTTATACGGATCTAACAGAATGTGTTTTACTTTGAGTTTGTAATAGACAAAAAGCAAAGACTTGCAAATAGAAAAAGAATAGTTTTTCTCGATATTATGGCCTGGAATATATTATTCATTTTTTTAATTCTTATATGTTCTGAAGTTTTATGTAAAATAAATCAAGACAAAAATTTACGTGGATGTTTTACAGAATTAAGATGTGGTGGTAAAATAAATTTAAAAGACTATGAAATCGGATGATAATAAGTTTATCATTTGTATTTAGAAAAATCAACTAATCTATCAATTATTGTTCAAGGTCTACCAGGTCCTCGTGGTTTACAAGGAGTTACAGGTAATGATAAAGAAAAAAAATTGTTTTTTTTTGATAGGAATTTATTTATGAATTTAGGTTTACCTGGTCCTCTAGGTCCACAAGGTTTAATTGGTCCTCCGGGTAAGGATAAACTCTTATGCTAATAGATAAAAGTATTTATCATAGTTTAAAATGTAGAATCAATTGTGAGAATATATTTTCATAACGAGTTATCGAAAAGAAATTTGCATCAGTAATGAAAAACTAAAAGTTGAAAAAGAATTCAATTCTAACATCTGGAAAGGAAAGATTCCCTTTAAGATGCCCCTCTCTTGTGGACTGCGTCTAATTCTCGACAAGAGTACAATCGATTGGGCTCACATATTTATTAAATCTAAATTATCGAAAATAATGGGAACTCTCTTCGAGAAAAAAATTTTACCAGGAGATCTTCAGGAGTTTTTGGCGATGACCTGAGAATATCCTTAAGGTCTCCCACCCTTAATAACCGATCTCAGCCTAAGTACATTCAAATCCGCTGGAATTTTTAGGATATGTTGGAGCTATCGTAGAGAGACTATGATAAAATTTTCAATCCTATATCATAACGTTTAACAGAGATATTCATCAACCAAGGGCCGCAAAACAGCTCATTTGGCAAGCAAGATTTCTCAGCCAAGGCTCATTCTATATATTTAAATTTTTTTTTTGTTGTAAAGAGCATGTCAGGATGCAGTGCCTACCAAAGCCTTTTTTTTTCAAATTCTTTTCAAGCGGAGGAAAGAGATCACAAGTTCAATAACTCAAAAAACGCGTGTCTATTTATATAAGTGTTTGTATATATAAGAATAATTTAAAAGAAAAAGGGTTCTGGCAGGTACTGCATGTTGACATGCTCTTTCAAATAAAAAAAAGAATTTAAATATATAGAATGAGCCTGGACAGAGAATTCTTGCTTGCACGTTCAAGAAAACATAAACTGAGCAAAAACAAAAATCATTTTCAAATTTGTTAAAAACAGCTGGTTTTTCGGATATAGAGTAGGAAAAATCTTCAAAGTTTCTTGAAAAAAAGGGAATATCGAGTAAAAATTTTTATGGTTTCTGAAAGACCAGATGATGAACTATTTCTCCATGCATTTATCTCAATTTCGGACAAAAAAATTGACATTTTTTGAGGGAGAGAGACCCTAAAAGTAATGAACTAACCTTATCGAGGACTATAAAATTAAAATTGATGCGGCAAAAATTATCTAAATTACAAGAGAAAATCTACAAAGAATAAAAAAAAAGCAAATATTTATTCTTAGGTCGTGATGGTTTTACAGAACGATCAATTTCATTTTGTGCTGAATTACAACAATTTGATATAACAACAAATTTCTATAGTATACTTCAACCATGGATATTATCTGATTCATTTAATCAACCAACTGTTTCAAATTATTTTTCTGAACATACTGGAATATTTACTGTACCTACCAAAGGTCTTTATCAATTTTTTCTTACTATATTCGCTTCTCGAATTAAGGTTTAAAAAAAAACAAAAAATTTTTCTTTTAATTCATAATTTGAAATTTGTTTTTTTTTTTTTATTTAAAGGCATCTTTTTATATTACAAAAAATGGTCAACATATGTGTACAGTTTGGCTTGAATCTATAGTTATAAGTCATAATAAAACTCTTATTTCAGGTTTATCTAATGGTTTAATAGATTGTCTTTTATATTGTCAAATTAATGATCAAATATCTGTTGTAGCTTCAAATCTTTTAAATGAAAATTTTGATTCACAACCTCATGCTTATTCTTATTTAATTTTTTCAGGTTATATGTTATTTAATATTTAAATATTTTTATTAAAACAAAAAAAAACAGATCATATTAATCTTTAAGATATGGAATTATATTATCAATAAACCATTGATCAGTAAATTGTAAATGATCAGTATCTGATTCAAGAAATTTAATACGTAATTGTTCATCCATAATTTTTAAACCTAATAAATCATTTAAATATAATAAACTTTCACGTAATGGTATTATTTTTGATATATTATTTTTTTCATAAAAACCAAAATGTTCACTTTCAGATGGTGTTACCATTGAATCACGTAAAAATTTTACAAGTATTAAATTACGAATTTTTAATAAATTATTTTTATATGATTGATTAAATATTCGTTCTTGATTAATATCAGCTAAGAAAATACTTGCTTTACGATAAGTTTCTTCTTGATGAGCTAAAGAAAAACAAGAAAATATAAATAATTTTTTAATATAATTCTAAAATTTACGATCATGCCAATATTCGGCTTGAACAAGATGATTTTGAACAAATGATTCATAAGCACCAAAATGTAATAAATCACGAATATAATTACATATTGTTATATTATCACCTGGACATCGAGGAAATCCAAAAACACCTTGATGTTGACCACCAATTGATATTAAATTAAGCATTGGTGGATTAGGACAACGTTGAGCTATGGCACGTAAAAATTGTCCACCTTGAGAAAAACTTTAAATAAAATATAAAAATTTCATTAGTTAGAAAAAACAAAAAACGAAAAAGTTTTTAATTGTTTTTTTTTTTCTCGTTATTTACCCAATAGCATGATAACCTTGTGAAAGATTTTCATCGGAATTTAATAATTTACAAACATAATCAATTTGATGATTAACATTCATAAAAAATCCATTTGATGTATCTTCAGCTATATTTGATCCAATACGTAATGAAAGTATATATGGACCAGGTAATTGACGTTTTAATAATTTAATTATTGTACCAAGACTTAATGGATTACAACAACTATCACCCATACCATGCCATAAAACTATTGGTGGTGAACCAGATATAAAAATAGTATGACTAAGACAAACAATAATAATGATAAAAGACAACATTCATATATGAATATGTATATTTTACTAAAAGAATATAGACAGTATATGACAAAAGTATAAGAAAGGTCAACTAAAAAAAATATGAGAGAAAATCTTTCAAGCGTATCCAATTGAATACATCGAATCAAATTATTTCGACTTTTAAAATCATTTTATCGGTATAGAAAAAAAAGTGAAGTTATAAAAATTCAAATTTTGATAGTATTTTTCTTTATCATAATAAAAATTTTTGTATTCATACGTTATTGATCGGATGTTAAATCCGCTTAAAATTTAAGTCATAAATCAACGCTTATTAAAATTTTACAAGTCAAACATAATACAATAATTTCGAGTTTATCTTATAAATTGATGTTAATGTATAGGATAAGATCTATAGTATTTGTTTGATATAGGAAATGAAAGCTTAGTATTAAGTAACAGGAGATATTTGAAACTTTCTCAAATATTTTTAAGTAGAAAGATGCTTTGAATTTTTTTTTAAGAAGATTAAATGGAATATTAGGTGAAATACTGAAATTTTAAAACTTGTTTATGTGCAAAAATGTAATATTAACTATCTTGCAAACATATTTTGGATCATTCGGTCTTTTTTTTGTTCGATAGTCTATTAAAAAACAAAGAACCTAAATTTTCGAACTTTGTTCCAATATTCAAGTATCTATTTCTAGAAATGTATGTTAGATTCGTCATGTTATGTTGATATATAACAGTAGTTTATTGTTGCAGTTAGAATAGATTTCTTCAAATAGAAACTACAGATAATTTATAGAGAATGTTAGATGAAATATACGCGAACAGCTAACATAATATAATCAGAAAATGTATGGACTGTTATATAAAAAGCAAGAAATACCACTAAAAATAGAGATCCAAAGGATAAATACAACAAATACCTGACAGAAAAAAAAATAGCAATAACTAACAAAATGTATTTCTAAGAGGACAGACAGATAACTAACGTCTATGGCTAAATACTCTTAACAACTGGTGTCTTATGAAATGTCTTAAGTATGTACCATAACATTATAAATAAATAATAATCCATTACAGAGTAACTTCTTTTATTATTTTTAAGTTATTTAATTATAAAAATATTTTAATGTCTTATGTGTAAAATATTCGGAAGATGTTTTTGTTTATATGAATACATGTAAGTAATACATATGATTTCAATAATTGACTTACAGAAAAACTTTTTTTTTTCGTTTATTTATTTTTTATTGAATAATCATATGTTTTTTCCGCCAGAAAAAATATCGAAATATGTAAACACGCCCACATACTCTTAATACGTTTGAATTTTTATTCTTTTATTAACCAATAATTCTATTACAAAAATAAATAGAAAAAAAACTATAATTAAATAATATATATATATATTTTTTTTGAGTAAAATTTTAGTTTAAATTCATATCTCTTAAAAAAAATTAACATTGATTATTTTCTTTGTTTTTTTTTGTTTTCATTAATTTTCCATTAATCATTATAAACGAACTCTAGTGTTGATATTTTTCTATTAGTCAAAAAAAATAAACCAATCATATCATAATCTCAATATGCATCATCATCATTATAATAGTGTTGATTGAATAAAATAAATTTCTTTTACATTCTAGAAAAACACAAAAAAAAATATGTTCAATAAAAATTCTCCTGAACGTCATACACAACAAAATTCTGATGATGATGATGATGATCAAATACATATTGATCCAAATGATGCATTTGAAGTAATTGATATTGATCCATCAACAGAAAATATTGTTGAAAATCAAATAGATGATCTTGAATTAACAGAAACAATGCAACAAGAAGAAGAAGATGATGATGCATTATTAAAAATATCTCATCATAAAATTGGAAATTCTATATTTACAATATCAATTGATCCATTAATACAAAATCGTGTTTGTACAGGTGGTGAAGATGATCGTTGTCTTCTTTGGAATTTAGAAACTGGTGAATTAATATATGAATATCCTATATTTGATGATAGTGTACATCAAATATGTTGGAGTTTTGATGGTAAATATTTATGTGTATGTGATATGCGTGGACAAATACGTTGTTGGACAAATAATGAAAATAATTTACCTATTAATGAAATTTGGACATTTCATACAGGAAATGATATTGAATTAATGCGTTTTCATCCATCAGCACATGTTCTTTTTGTTGGAACAAATGATTCACAATTATGGTTATTTAAAATTCCATCAGGAGAATATAAAATTATGCATGGAGGAAGTGATACTGAGATAATAACATTAGAAATACTTGCAAATGGTAAGATATTTTATTTATATGATGAGAACATTTTTGATTTTTGAGAAAAAATTTTTATAGTTCGAACGTTAGAATCATTTTTCTATATCTAACTTGTATTAGATGCAAAAGATATTAGTAAATTAGTGATACTTTTCGATCAATCGAATTTTTTTTTCTCAGAATAAAGTCTTCGATATTATTGAAAATAGTGTGAATCAGCAAAGGGAAGTTTTTCTCATTAGGACAACTGATCCTGAAAACCTATGGCTTCCGTTTGATACAATGAGCATATATTTAGATTTAGAGCTGTACGGAACTAAAAATAAAACTTTATTAAGACTTAGACTACGAAAAACAAAAAAATATTTCTCGAGACTGAAACTTAAGTTTACAGTACAATTTTAAACAAATTATTTTATAGAACATAGATGACTCACGAAAGCTCGAGTTATCGACTAAATAAATCTAAAAAGAAAAACATACATTTTTTAACTTTCTCTACCATCTTAGTTGAAATAAATTCTAATACTAATTTTTTTTTTTTTGTATGTAAATTCATATTAAAACTGATCTGTAGATTTAGTATAACTTCAAATTTTCCAGGTTAGAGAGAATGATGACTGAATACTAGTGAAAAACATGAACTAATGATTTATAATGTAAATTAATGGAGTAATACACCATTTCCGATAGTCGAAATAATAGCCTTGAGTTTATTTTCTTTAATTATCTACAGGAAGTTATGTTAATATACAGGTAATCAAATACAAAAATGTATCCTGACAATTATTCAGTTTTGTTATTCTTTCTTACTAATGGATAGTTTGTATTTTCTTAAAAATCTAGTTTATTAAGTGAAATTTTCTATTCTATTATTCATATGATGGTAAATAGATACGCTTTTTGTCTCCATACATTATTATAAATTCAATTGATACTTCTTAGCAACATGAAAATGTCAAACAATTTAGTATTTTTCATGAGTCATATATCAGAATCAAAAAAAAATTATTTTTGCTAAAGAATTTGTTTATATTCTCCATTGATCAAAAACAAAATATTTTTTGTTTTTACTAACAAGAAAATCATCCATTGAATGCCGTTTTATTTAGTACTTGTACCAATCGACAAAGTTTGAGACTCTAAGTTTACTGGACTTTACTCAAAGCTAAATGAATGTTCACACAACAAATATTTATAGTACATATCTTTGTGAGACTTCTATCCGCGCAATTATTAACATATGAATTAAAATGAAGAAATTATAAAATAGAATATTTCATTATTATTAATTTTCAATAATAACCTAAAAATAGTCATTTAAACAAAAAAGAAAATACATTTGTTTTGTTCTTCTAATGTCATTTTTTTTATAAAAAATTTCATAGTTATTATTATTCAGGTAAACAATGTGTATGTGGTTATGGTAATGGTCAAATTAAATTATGGGATCTTAAACAATGTTCTATTATTTGGCAATATGATGATAATAATAATAATGAAAATGATAATGCAACGAATATAATTAATATTAATAATAAATGTATTTCAATGTGTTTAAATAATGAACAAACATTAATAGCTTGTGGTTCAGCTGATGGTAATTGTCGAGTACTTAATTTACATAATGGTAAATTACTTTCATTATTTCCATGTTTTCAATCAA